GGGAGAAGAGTAGGGAAATAACCATTACTAATATCTAAACTAGTCTTCTTTAGCCAGGCTCTTTGTGAAGTGAGTCAGTGGAAACCAGTTACACGGGTATTGTGGCCTCATGCAGAGGTGATTTAATCTGGAGCTGTGTTTTCTAGAATGCACACACAATGTCTGAGGCTCCCCTCCAGGGGCCTGATGACCATGGCTTCAGCTTTGTGGCTGGGAAGGGTCACAACTGATTTCTCTGCACTGGGGCTTCCCAGCTGCCCTCCATGCTTACGGGCTGCCAGGGGTCTTGCAAGCTAGTGAGTGTCTTGAATGGTCTTTCAGTCCCCATGAACCCTCCACTGTGAGAAATTGAACGCCCCTGTGTCATGAGTGTATGTTCATGATACAGTTTTTCCTTTAAGTCAGCCGGGCAACTGCTCACCTAGCTGCCGGCTGAGCAGTCTGGCACCAAGCAATAGACAAGAGTCACACACGGTAATTCTGCTATTCACTCGGCTTTTATTGAATGCAGGTTCACTCAAAATAGACCATCGACATACATTAGTATCCTACTCACACTCTAATAGTCTAAGAAAAACATAACACACACATAGCAATCATTGGGGGATAATGAGCCCGAGTCCCAGACTCTCATTCTGTAGGTCTGGGAGACAGCATGGTGGGCAAGGGAGTTGCCAGCGTCTTGCAAGGGAGGGTCTCCAGAGCCAGTCCTCAGTCCAGCAGGGCAGGGCCTCAGTGGCTGATGCCAAGGGAGATCAGCGTGGTGTGGAGCAGCACTCTGGGGTGTGGAGCTCGGCTGTCTCAGCAGTGGTCAGGAGCCTGCCTCAGTTTTACCTTGAAAGTGGTGCACTTCACCCTTCTGAGTCTTTTTGATAAATGTCTTAGCAGCCCTGATGCCAAGTGTAGAATTTCCTCAGAAGCCTCTGGGTGGTACATGGCTGTTCTGCTCAGTACCCCTGTTGGCAAGTGAGGAATTTCCCCAGGAGCCTATCTGTGGGTGGTCCCAATATGCAGGCAAGGCTGTTCTAATTACATGGGCAGATATCTTAAGTGTGTCTCCTTGCCAGATGTGCCTGATCTGACTTGGGAAATTTCCCTCCTGAACCAAAGGGTCATGGCTGACCAGCAGCCATTTGGGTTCACACAAGCGACTCCATTTTGTTTTATATACTTTATGCTTTTTTTTTTTTTTTTTTTTACTTTATGCTATCTTGACCAGGGCAATGCCATTTTATTGGTCCTGTCTCTACACCTTGATAGCTGTGACCACTGTGTTTTTTAATTCTCTCTAAATGAGTCTTCCTCTCTGCAGTGGTTTCACATAAACACAGAAGGAGAAAGTCAGTCGAACAGGTATAGGGGATGGTGGTGGGGAAGCCGGGAGGGGCAGAGGCACGCGGGTACCCCTGGAGGGTGGGAAGCAGCACTGACACTCACTGTGGCCTTTCACGGTGTCCTGGTGATGGCGTGGAGCGTTGGGATCCTCCCAGCCTCCTTCACCATCCTCTGCCCCTAAGGAAGCCGCATCTGTACCCACCTCCCTGCTCTTCCCCTAGCAGGGCTTCAAAATGTCATCTCACATAAAACAGCAGCTCTCTGCCACCAGCGTGAGGGACGGACTGACTGGACCGGCCTGGCACGTACCATGGAGTATTCTCGTAGCCAGTTGCGTGCTCACACCTGCACGGCCCCTCTGATGTCCTGGGCAGTCAGGTGGTCATGTTTTAATTTCACTCCTATCATGGTTCTTCAGCAAGAAGTGTCATCTCTTTCTTATTCTTATTAATTTCTTAAAAAGAGATTTTAGCCTTAATAAGACTATGGATTTTAGAGCTACCCCTCTACTCTATGCCCAACTTCTGTTTTATCTGAGCTTTTTAATAGGGATTACATATGTCCCAATAGTAAAGAAACAATAATCAGTAATCAAGAAGTCTTAGTGGTGTGCCAGGTACTATTTTAAGAATTCGATATCAATTAGCTAATTTAATGTAAACATCAATGTGTTGAGGTAGTTGTTACCATTTTTATAGGTGGGGAAACTGAGGCCAGAAAGGTTAAGGCACTTGACCAGAGTCACCCCGAGAGTTAGTGGCAGAGCTGGCCTTTGGCTTGGGCTGTCCAACACTGGAACCCTGAGCAGTGGCCACCCTTTAGCCTTGTTCTCATCAAATATTTAAATTTCCTATTTTTGTCCTGGCTGTTGTGGCTCAGTGGGTTGAGCATTGGCCTGTGAACCATAAGGTCGCGGTTCAATTCCCAGCCAGGGCATATCCCAGGCCAGGTCCCTGGCCGGGGCAGTACGACACACAACTACCAATGGATGTTTGCTTGTGCACGTGGATGTTTCTCTCTTTTTCTTTCTCTTCTCTTCCCTCTCTCTAAAAGTAAATAGATAAAATCTTTAAAAAAATAAGCTTCCTATTTCTATACCATTGGCTTTTGTTAATAAGTAATGATAATTATAAATACAAAAATTATGTTGATGGATACGAAACCTCTCTTCTATTAGGTAGAACTTTGCAGATGAGACCAAAGACACATTGATAAATACTGGTTTTGAAGTGGATTATCCCACTGAATACCTAATCAAATGATCTAAACAGAAATCCTCAATATACATGGGAATGAGTCACTTGAGGTTTTCAAGAGGATGCTTTTCCTAGAACCCTTTATGCCTCCTGAGGACCTGCCCTCAGGAGTAAGTATTACTGAGGGTAGTTAGGTAGGAAAACACGCTCCTCCTACATTTCTCCTTTACTCTCACACTATTACTGCACTGGCCACACTTCTGACACCAAATGTGTGGGTCTTTCTCATAGCAACTCAATCCAATCCGATCCAATCCAATCCAATTCTACCTGGAAACAGTGTCAGATCCCACAAGTTAAGTGCTCATTCCCACAAGGTGCTTCCACTTCAGATGCCAATCTCAAGTCTCAAGTGGTCTACTGTACTTCTGACCCACAAGCTATAAATTGGGACTCTTAATGACCCCCTCCATGGGTTCAGTAATGTGCTAGAATGACTCACTGAACTAAAAGAAATACTTAATTTTTATTGGTTTGTTACAGAGGACACAATAAAGATGAATAGCCAGATGAAGAGGGACACAGGGTGAGGTTTCGAAGGGTCCCCAGCGCAGGAGCTTCTGTCCCTGTGGAGCTGAGTGTGCCCCCTCCCAGCACGTAGATGTGTTCACCAACCTAGAAGGTCCTCAAACCTCATTCTGTCATGATTTTTACGGAGGCCTCATCACATCAGCCTGATTGATTAGTAAAACCCCATTTTCAGCCCCTCTTCCCTTCCAGGAGGATGGAGGGTGGAGTGGAAAGTTCCAGCCTTCTAATTATGGCTTGGTCTTTCCTATGACCGGCCCCTGCCCAGGAGCTGCCAAGAGTCTCCTTATTAGAACCAAAGAGGCTGCCATCACCCAGGAAATTACAAGGGGGTTAGGAGTTCTGTGTCAGGAACTGAGGTCAAGAAGTAAATGTTACAAGAGAAAATTCTCCCAGCACTCTTATTCATAGGAGAACCAGAGGCAGATTATATATATGTATATATACATTTACATATATTTATATTTATAATAATCTCTATTAGTAATATATAATTATTATTATTTTATAACAGTGTGTCATATTCTTCAGTTTCCTTAAAATGCTTGGGTCCTCTCTTTTGCATTGGAACACGAGGAAAAATGGTTGAGCACTATTACGTAGTGAATGTACTAGAAAGAAAAGACTCAGAAAGTCAGCCTTGGCCCTGAAGACCAGACAATGCAGCTAACACAGAATGGCTAGGCCAGGCGCATGCACAAGTGTTCCCACACAGGTTTCTCTGTCACTTCCGTGGATGCTTCTCACCCATCCCTGTGCCTGGAGGGGTTGGAATGCAAGTGACTGACACCTAATGGGGAGATGAAATGGAAAATTACAGCCTTTCTTAAATGTGGTTTGACTTTGACATTCTCAGAGCTATGGGGAAGATCAGGTAAAAGGAAACGAGAAGCAGCCAACATGTACTTTGGAGTGAAGTACAGAGTCCAGTTAGTGAGGTCTTTCACCACATTCCACCTGGGCTTCCTTGCCCTCTTTTCTGGATTGGAGAATATTAAACCCCAGTCATTCTGGCTGAAATAACAACAAGGATTTACTTGTGAATATCCCAGTTTTAGGGGAGGTTTGACTTGGTGCCTCAGTGGTGTGATCCAGAACCTTCCTTTCTCATTTCTCCTACTCTCCTCCTTGTGGAGTCAGAATCACTCCTCTATGGTCATCATGATGACTGCTAACAATTTCCAGGCTAACTGGGAGCTTCCTTGGCCCACTCTCAGATCAGAGGAGGGACGCTTCTGTCCGAAGAGCTTCTACTGCTAGAGCCCCTCACTGATTTCATTTGAGTCAGGAGTTCTCTCCTGAGTCAGTAACTGGGGTTGGGCTCAGGTGAGGTTCACCCAAGCGCTCAGCCTCAGAAACCTGTGGCAGAGTCAAGTTTTTGCCAGACCCAGAACCAAAAAGGAGTTATTTAATCCCTGGGAAAGATCAAAGATCGGTACAGACACCAAGTGAAAGGTGACCATTGGGCAGGAAACCATGCCTCTCACAGCCTTTTCTGTGATTTGAAGATCAGTCCCTGTTGGGTACTCAGAATTGCAGGTTTCTGCCATAGCAGAAATTTTATTTTTTACTGCTTTGTAGCTCTTAAACCTCCTTTGTTTCCCTCTTCCCTCTACCTGCTCATTCTCTTTTCTCTCTCTCTTCTTCCCCTTCTCCCTCCTTCTCCCTCCTTTTTCTTATTTTCCCTCTCCCCCTCTTTCCTCTCTTTCTCCCATTTCCCCTTCCTTCTCCTCCTTTCCCTCCCCTTTCTCTTAGTCTCTCCTTCTGCCCGTATTATCAACCCCCTTACATTCATGATCTGGTCATTTATTTCACTCAGCTAAGTTGGTTCAGTACAATGTAGTTTCCCACTAAACAGAATGCCTTCCATTTGTCCTCCAGGAAGAAGAAATGCCAGATGTGGAAATTGACATTGATGATCTTCTCGATGCAGACAGTGAAGAGGAGAGAGCTTTAAAGTTACGGGTAAGCAGCTTTCAAAATCTGGAACCTTCCGGTTATAGATAGGGAATCCACCTGGGTCTCCAGAGCTTGGCCTGCGTAGACTTTGCCTGCGGAGGTGTCGGCACCAGCTCTCAGGCAATGATAATTGCCCTCTGATGATAAAGCAGTTCTTGATGACAGTCAGTTCCCGAAGCACCTTATAGCTATGAATTTGTCCAGCCTCATCTTCTTGAGAGGGCGAGCTGGTTCTGCCTCCACAGACCCTCTTGCTGGAGAAAGAAGTGATGCCCCACAGTTGTATGCAAAGAAGGGCTAAGCTAGAATGGGAGTGTCCAAACCCAGGACTCTGGTCTTGCAGTTGTGGATTATATCATTCATGACATTCCTTTCTACGAAAGATTGTTTACAACGTAATTCTGTTTAATAAAATACCTTTTGTCAGAGTATGCTTACCTGGTAGCATCCTGGGACAACTATGCATGTTGAGATGTTTCATGGTTCCTTAGTCCAGAGTAAGGCAATGTTTATTTTCCTTTCCAGAGGTGATCAAATCTGTCATTTTAAAATCTGTATTTGGGAGTTTCTAAAACCCATAAACCTCTGGACCTGCCAAGGTTTCTAATGTTCACTGATAATTATCGTTAATAGCTGTTGGCTGTGGCCAGTGGCAAATGATCGCTGAAGGCAATCAAAGGGCACATTTCGGTATATTAATGTGTTTAATGTGTTAACAATTACTAATGTCCCTTGAGTGGTGAATAGTTTCAGTGTAATGATTATTTTCTTGTGAGTAAATTTAATTGGGAGATGAAAGTCAAAAAATTAAAGCAGGTATCCGTTCAATGCAGAATGTAATGACATAAAGTTTTCCTAAAATTGAGAACTTGAAAGGGGCTTTAGCTACTGTCAGGTCATCCCCTTTGGTTTTCAGCTAGGCCCCTCCTTGTCCAGTGTGACTGTCACCATCTTTCACAGGTTGTCTCAGTTCAAGTCTATCCAGTTTGTTAGTAACCAAGCTGGCAGCCCAAAGGAAAGTGTGTGTGCATGTGTGTGTGTGATCTGGAGAGGGTAAGGCATTTGTGCATAGAAAGGACATAACTCTTATTTCAGCACCCATTAGCCATCTAAAGATATAAAGTGTGATTCTAGAGTTGATAGGAAATGCTGATTTACCATGTTTAGAGTAGTATGCTACAGATGAAATAGTTTTTAATTTCATTTTTAAAATGCAGTTGAATTTTAAAATAATAAAACTTGCCTTCTGTGTACTTCATTCTAGGAAGCTCTCGTAGACTGCTACAAACCAACAGAGGTAAAGAAATCATGTTTCCTAAATGTCATGTTTGAACTGTTCTTTATTAAATCAACTTGTCTATTTTTAAAGCTAAACCACAATAAATGGGTTTGATTAAGTCCCTACTGAGTAGCAATTATTATCCTAAGGGAAGTGCATCTGTGTGAATAGTACTACCTTCCTTATCTGTAAGCCTACACATGTCTGGTTTAGCAAGACTTAGAGCCGATGGAATCTCATGCTTGCTTTTATGTAAAAGGTAAACTTCAATTGTGAGAGGGTTTGGAATCATTTTAGTGAAAGTCTAAGGTTTGTAACTGGAGAATACATTCTAATAGTGTACTGGTATGTATTTTTAAAAAACTTAAAGCCAATTCTATTATTCAGAATTGAACAGTTGGTTTTCTTGGAAGAATACATTTATGCTTTGTTTGGATATTTACTAAGTGTGTAAATACTAATGTGAAAAACAAAGTATATTAATTTGATTAGACCAAAGCATTTAATGTATACTCTAATGCCTGAAAGAATCGTGTGGGAATTAAGGGTTTGATCAGTTATGAAAATATGGGTAAAAAAGAAATTGGAAGATTCATCAGAGTCCATTTAGTGGTAGGACTTCCGGTTTTTTAAGTGGTTTTATTAAAAGTGGAGGGAAAGCATGCTTTTAGAAGAGTGTTTAAGATTTAAATGACTGGGTGTTTTATGATCACTTGGTTTGCAATCAGTTTTATACTAGCTCCAGTTTACATTTATATGATTATATCTTGCAGTTATAAAGTTTTTAATTTTAATGTTAGTTATGAAAATATATTTTAATCAATGTCATACATAATCCTCATTTTGAAAGTCAAACATAACATTAGCTTATAACAAAAAAATAGCAGTGTCTCTCCCACCCATCAATATCCCTCCCTAAAGGTATGTGCTTTATATTCATATATTATATTTATATGTTTTTATTCAAGCACACAGCCACTTTCGGCTGTTTTCCTGCTATTTACTCTTATATTTCTAACTATGCCTTTACAGCTTTTTTTTTCATTTATGACTTAAGGGGCAATGTGGCAGCCCTCTCACTCACCACACAATGTATTTCCCTTCACCCCCTTTATAAAGTTATTTAATGGTCTCTGTTAATAGTCAAGTATAATCATATTATGATTTAAACAAATGTTATTCACTGCTAAACCAAAGAGTAAGATATGACCGTGGCCCCTTTCTTATATAGCCCTTTGTTTTTCTTGGAGTTGACAGTTACCTTGTCTTTATTTTGTCTTTGTGCTATCTATTGCTATTTTTTGTTGAACTCTCCAGTATCTTTGTTGAATACGCAATAATGTTTTTTACATATGCTCAAACACATCATTACCTTCCCCCCACTTCAGACTTTCCTTCTGGAGCCCCTGCACAACATTCTGGAGAAATTATTCTCTAGCTTTACTGAGTAGCTACTGTGCTGAGATTTCTGTTTACTGCTATTCTATATTAGATGCTTTATTTCTTAAATCCCAGAATTCCTCAATTAGAGTGCATCACCCAGTAGCTTTTTGGGAAACAATGCACAGAAAGTAATTTTTTTGAACCCTTTCGTATATGAAAATAAATCTTGATCAGTATAGTTGGGACAATATAGAATTCCAGAATAATAAAAATTCATTATTAAAACTCGCTTTTAAAGGCATTAGTCTATTGTTGTATTACTTCTGTTGTTAAGAAGTTCAATGCTATTTCTATTCTCAGACATTTATTTGTATGTGACCTGTGTTTCCCCCTTCAGTGAACTTTTAGGATTTTTTCCACATTTTGAATTTTATAATATGCGCTAATGTGGGTCTTTTTCTACTCAAATCCTGGGCATTTTGCAAGCTGTTTTAGTCTGAAGATTCATATCTTTCAGTTCTTCAAAAATTATATTTTATTATTTTTTTCCTCAGAAGTCTGTATGGTTCACTCTCTTATTATTTAGATGGTATATCTTCTGGATGGGGTGTCTAATTTCTTAACTTTTCTATTTTGTTTTATATCCTCTTGATCTTTTTTTGTTCTCCCTGCTGAAATATTTCCTCGACTTTATCTTCTGGCCTTTTTCCTGATATTTTAAAATTTCAGCTATTTTATTTTTATATCAAAGAGCTCTTTCTTGGTCTCTGGTCATTATTTTGGTTTAGTATTTCTTCTTGTTTTCTTGATGTGGTCTATTCTTTTTCTCTTTTAGGATATTAATCAGATGTTTTCTTTTTTGTAGTTGTTGTTTTGGCATTTTAAGAATACTGTGCTCTCTATTTGAATATTCCCTCTGTTTTCTCTGCATCCATCTTTTTTTTTTTTTGTCTATTTTCATCTGTCTTTGCTGGGTTTTAGGAGTGGACTCATGTTTGAGCATTAGGCAGCCAGTAAGCTGATTAAAATCTGCACGTGTGAGCACAGCCTGTCAATTGGTGGGTCTCCCCATGGAATCACTAGGTTACAAACAAGATTTTTTTTATGGCATGTGAGTATGGAGCAGGGGGACCACTCCAACGTTGCTGTTTGGACCTTTTTTCCCCACCCACTGGACCAAGAATGGGAAGGAGGCAACAGATCTTGCCATTTAGTTTCTTTGGAAACAGAACTTCTTTACTTACAGTTGGGGGGTTAATGTAAGAGTTGAAATAATTATTTATTTGGAGAGTCATATTGAATGATTGTGAAGGATTAGACAGAGAATAATGAAATACTGTTGATGACTTAGCGTGTGATGTGGAATGGGAGGTTGTGGCTGAGAGTGAGTCTGAGCTGCTGGGTGTAGACCTGCCATTTATTTACTTTGTATTTCCCTTTTCTTCAGTTTTTCTAGATGGAGAAGTTCAGGTTTGGGTTTTTAGGTGGGAAGGGTTGGACTTGCTGCTTTCTCTTCTGATTGGCTCTGCAGTCAGGCAGCAGTAAGATGTCATTTTCAAGTTCTCACCTAAATGAGCCCTGTTCTCCCAAGTTTTTCATCCAAATTTATCTGTCTATTAAAGGATCATTTCAGAAAAGGTTGGATAATTTTTCCTTTGAGAAAAATTATCAAAGAAATCAATTTTCCTGGCACCTGGATTGTGATGATTTTTAAAAATAGCTTGTATTTTCCCAGGGCTCTGTAGTTCACGTTGTGATATTGAGCATTCTCTTACTCTATCTTCACAATCATCACTTGAAGAGTGTGGGTAACTTATCTAAGACCTCACAGGAGTGGGCAAAGAGGCCAGGACTTAACTCCAAGGTCCTGACTGCTGATCTTGTACCCTTTCTTTCCATCCTGCTGATTTTCCAAAGCTACTTAACTCAGTAATACTTTCAGGGCATTAAAGGGTTTTGTCTTAACTCAACTAAATGCCTAATAATGAGTGATGCTCTTTTTCAAATAGCTTTCTCTGGGAGTGCTATTTTTTTTTTAATCAAATGGATTTTACATACAATTATGCTGCTTTGAAGTTAGAAGCATAAGGAAGAGATCACTGCTGATTCAGATACATTTTTATAGTCTTATTGCAGAGGCACAGCGGGAGGTAAAAAGACTAGACTTCAAATCAAGGGTCTTATGCCAGCACCAGTAGTCAATGTGTGTGACTTTAAGCACTTTTTCCAATTTCCCCAAGCCTTGAATGTGGAACTAATAATGACCTCCTTGGATTTTAGTGATAGTAACAACGACAATAAAATTGCTAAACCATTACTAAGCACATGTTAGGCACCAATCTAATCATATCATGTGTATTAACTCATTTTGTCTTCACAACAAAGCTATGAGGTTGACACTATTGTTGTCAGGGAATTTGAAACATAGGAAAGCTCTGTAATTCATCTAAGTGACATAATTAATGGAGAAGTCAAGGTACGAAATAAAACACATACCGTATTTTTTGGACTATAAGATGCTCTTTTTCCCCAAAATTTGAGAGAAAAAGGTGGTGCATCTTATAATCTGAATGTTGGGGGGCCAGCACTGTAGTGGGGCCATAGGTTATTAAATACCTTACATATTTTTTTGCTTCAAAAATTTTTCCTATTTTTCTCCTCTAAAACCTAGGTGTGTCTTATGGTTCGGTGCATCTTATAATCCTAAAAATACAGTAACATGAAGTTTGGCACATGCTAGTTAATCTGGTTCTATATAACGTAATGCTTCTCCATTATGTAGTAAATATGCAAAATACCAAAATTCACAAACAATGATGTTCTTGAATTATTCGAATAGTTCAAGACTTTGAAAAATCTACCAGTTTCACCAATATGTCTCCTAAAGCAAGGGATATAAAGAATAAACAAATGAGACTACATCTAATTAAAAAGCTTTTGTGCAGCTAAAGTAAACATCAGCAAAATAAAAAGGGAACCAACCATATGGAAAATATATTTGCCAATGACACCTTGGACAAAGGTTTGATCTCCAAAATATATAAAGAACTCACAGAACTGCACACCAGCAAATAAACAATCCAATTAAAAAATGTCTGAACAGACACTTCTCCAAGGAGGACACACAGAGGGCCCAGAGACATATGAGACGATGCTCAGCATCACTAGATATCAGAGAGATGCAGATTAAAACCACAATGAGATACCATTTCAAACCGGGCAGAATGGCCATCATAACCAAATCAGCAAACAAGTGTGGGTGAGGTTGTGGAGAAAAGAGGACCCTAGTGCACTGTTGTTGAGAATGCAGACCAGTGCAACCACTGTGGAAAACAGTATGGAATTTCCTCAGAAAACTAAAAATGAATCTGACTTTTGACCCTCTGTCAGATACAGAAGTCCTGGACTAATAAAAAAAGTACTTGTGATTTCCCACTTTCCAAACTGTCAGTTTGTGACCTGTAAATTTTTTCAGACTTGGACTTTTTTGAAACAGGCAGTATAATTGAGTGAATGCCATTTCTGATGTAGTTGGTATTAAAATAGGGCTGATTTAAAGGTAGAAAAAGGGTATTTTTTATGTAATGCAAGAAGAAAAGGAGTATTTTTGTTTGGGTTATTACTTGAATTTGGAA